AAACTTTCAGGCAGCAATTCCTTTATAGGTTTCTGGTGCTTTGTGCATTTTCTCAGGCCTTTCTTCAAAACTGCAATGTTTTCTTTCCAAAGGATTTTTGAACTGCAAGGTGCAAGGTGACAGGAAGGCCTTATACAGTGCAGAGAGAAGAGGTGATTTGTTCTTCTAGTTTACCAGTGCCTTCTCCAAAATTAAAATGTGAAATGTTAAGTTTTGAATTAATTTTTATATTACCTATGCCATTTCAGCTATCCCTGCTCATACTGCTGTTGTCTTTTGGATAATATGATAAATCCATAAGGTAGGAATATATCAAGAAGGCACAGTGATTTTTGTCTGTCCATCAGTGCTAGGCACTTTTCTTCATAAAAAAAAATTTAGGAACCAAGTCATGCAATGAGTATACCAAACAAGACTTCAGTAAAGGCAATCTAAATGTCTGACATGATTTGACACACACAAAAAATGGACGAACACCAATTATTCCTCATAAGTCAATTACATATCTCCTGGGCTCTCAAATAAAAGCATTCTAATCAGCTGTCAAACCAGGAACCAGTGCAGGAAATTGCCTCTGCGATGTATAGGACCGGAGAGAAATTGTTTCCCAGAGTCCTTGCTGTTGCAAACTGTCTGGACAGTAAATTGCAGGCTTGATCGTGTCACCTTATCTTCCAGATATTCCAGCACTTTTCTACCGATCCCACCTGACTCTTTGAGCGTACGGTTGTAGAGCAGTGGCTGAGTACCGAATGTCTTTGCATCCTCAGAAAAGGGGAAAGGGTTTTATAAACCATAGGAGTCAAAGGCAGATTCGTGAGGACCTGATTTATATATGTTAGGTTTATTCTGCATCCTTTTGGAAAGATGAGGAAAAACGTTTTCTGTTTCTGAATTGGCTGGCTTTTGAAAATTAATAAACCTGTTGTTATCCACTCATGCTGCTGAGTGACCTGTTTTTATTGTACACTAAGGTACCATAAAATAAAAAAGATGATACTGTGAAGGAAAACTCACCAGCCTTATTTGAATGCATAACCAAGTTTGTTTACTTTGAAAGAACAATTCCAATGTAATGAATGTCTGGTGCAGCGTTAAATACGTCCTTGTCCAAATTTGATTTACGTGATTGTTTCTGGATGTTAACTCAACCATTGTTAACACAACCTCCGTCGGTTTTATATTTGTGCTGCCCGTGGGCACACACTAGCCCAGCAATGTGAAAGAAATCTGAAAGAAAACTGGTAGCAGTCCCTAGTGCAGGAAACCTCTTTCCCAGACGTAACAGAGGTTGGGGGGTAGGGAGCCGTAGATCACGTTAAGGCGAGCAGATCTGCGTAACTGGAGGAACTTTGTTAGCAGAGAGAAGGCCACCATTGATTCCTGTAGCTTGTTAACCTCTTGAGGGCCACATGCAGTGTCCAGACATCACCCACGGCCTGATGGCGAGTGTACGTGATGTGGCTGGCAAATCACACAATGAAAAACGCAGCTGCTTTTGCTGCCTGCTGCAATAGGGCAGGAGATGATGCGCTGTGAGCTCAGGCCACCTGTGGTTTTGAAGGTAGAAGTTAAGCTTTGTGAGGAACGCTCATACGGACCCTTCCGTAAATGTGTCGGGATGTGTAGGTAATTCATACAATAACTTTCTTAATATACAGAGACGGGATTCTCCAGCCACTGTGCTAGGCAGTAATTCCCCAGGATACGAGAATGTATGTCTTTTAAGAGATACAGATGATGCTTTTTTTAGGTAAACAAAACATTCAGAAGTTTCCACAACGATTAAAGACAAACACAGTTCTCAAGGGAAGTTTTATGGGTATAAACAAAAGACATTCTTGTTCGTCTTTCACATTCATTTCAAAATTGCACATAATTACTAAATCCTTCCCATGTGAGCCTTGCAGCTTGTGTTCTTTAACTAGATAATATAGCGTAGGTTTTAGCACCCATAGTTCCATGATTGAAGTTCAGTGACATCCGCAACAATATTTTTAAATCATTTGCTTCTAATTCATTTTAACCTAATTAGAAATAGCTATCAATAACTCTTTATGTTTCAAAGTCATTATATGGCTTACATCAGGCGTCATCATCTAAATTTTATGTTTACAATTTAAATTTAAATTTACAATTGTCAATAAAGAAGTGGTATGTTCAGTGTATTACTGTAAGTCTTTCATATAAACCTTTAATTTCATCTTAACCTTTAATTTCATCTGCTTCACCTTTTGCTCTTCTTTTTTAATCGTCGTTTTTCTCTCCATATGGCAGTGCTTTTCTTTTTTGTTTGATACTGAGCTTGGGAAGGGAAA